CCAGGATCGCCGAAGCCACGCCAGAGGAGCGCCAGCCCTCAACATAGACGTGCACTAGAAGAGGTCCGTGCTGTGTTTCGCCGTCTCCTGGGCGCCGACGCACCTGGACGTTTCCGGGACAGCGCTCCACATCGACCCGACGATGGCGGCCGCCTTGATGGGCCCAGGTATTGCAGCGAATGCGACGTCTTGGCTTCACGCGTCAGACACGCCGTCATCATCCACGGGGACGCCACGGACTGGCGGTCCTGACATCTGAGCCAGGCCGGACGCCCCTCCGCCCCCCTGGAGTGCCTGGGATTCGATCGCGCCGCCTCACCTGGCCAGGGACTCGGGCTCCAGGCAGTGCGCCCAGGATGGGGGCACCTCAAGTCCTCCTCCTCCTCCTGCTCCTCCTCCTCCTCCTCCTCCTCCTCCTCTTCCAGGTCATCCTCCTCCTCCTCCTCCTCCTCCTCCTCCAGGTCCTCCTCCTCCTCCTCCTCATCCTCCTCCTCCTCCAGGTCCTCCGGCTCCTCCTCCTCCTCCTCCGAGAGCGGCCGAACGGCAATGAGGTGATGTTGGCGGGTGATGATTTCTGAAGACAGACGTGGCCCCGCGTCTCCACAGCAACTGCCATACTGCTGCAGGCGCTCTGGAACAGGTTTGTTGAGACCTTGATGGTGATGTGCGCTGCTCCGAGCTGGACGAGGTTGAGGATGATCGTGAGAGGTGGCAAGACTGGTGCAATTCAGCGGCAGCAAGTGGCAGCCGCGGCCTCCACCGAACAACCAAAAGTCAATGATGCTCCCCACCCTACTGTTGTTCGGAAAGAAGGTGGACTGTCGGCCCATCCTCATGACATCGTCGAGGCGGAGGTCAGCAAGTATCCCGGACTGTGGCACGCGAGTCGCTTTCCTATCCAAGCTTGGTCACCAGATCGGCGAGCGCTGCCCATGGTCAGCGCTGATGGCGTACGTGAGGCGGTCAACAGTGTTCCACATGCCACGGCGCCAAGTATGGATCGCATCCACCCGGCAGGTTGCTTTGCTATCTGATGCTGGCTTGGAGACCATGGCGGCGCTGTTTGAGGCATGCGACCGCAATGGCCGTTTGCCGAACAGTTGCGTAGAGATCGGCTGTTGGTGTATGGCATGCCTGTCCCAGTCCCAAAGGTGGTCTACAACATGTGGCAAGCCCCTCGTATCATCCGTCTTGGGCTTCACCAGTGGTCGAGTTCTTTCTGCTACCTATGGCCTACTAGCTGGTTGCGCCTTTGCCGATGTGGCTGACCGTGCCTTCACAACCACCGGGTATGATGATTGTTTCATGAAGCGAAGCCCGCAGGTGGTCTTCATGAGCTGCATTGGTGACACTGGTGCGCATGTGAGTGGCACAGATCGTGATATTATTAGTGGAGTTGTTGTCAAGGCTGGTATTCGATTTCGGATGTATCAAATAGGCTGGAGGCGACCCTCAACGACAAGGTCGCCATAGCGTCAAGCGACTCACAGCTGGGACAGGAAGTGGCAGACAAGGCTGGCATCTCCAAGGAGAAATCTGAAGTGGGCGTCTCAGACCTGGGTACTGACTTCGCCTGTGGTCGTCGCCGTGCGCACCCACATGCTGCTCGGAAGCAGCGTACTCGGTTGCCCAAGTCCTCGCTCGCAGCGTCTGGCCAAGGCGGCCAAGCTCCAGTGTATGACGAAAGCCGGTGAGCGACTGGGACGAGCTTACACGACTGGCATCATTTTATTTCCCCCCCCCCACACAACAACCACCACGCGCCCGCCAGCTATGTCCAGCTGAACGGTCAATCGCAGCAGCGCCAACCAGTGCAAACGGAATGCGCCACCCCCCTGTAATGAGGCGCAGGGTCGGTCTGTTTTTTCAGAGCGACAATGAACAGGGACAGCGCCTTACACGACCGGCATCAAGGTGGCTGCGCAGTATGGTGTGGAGATCAACGGAGTCGATGGCATGGAGCTGCTCGCCATCCGTCGCCAGGCCATGGCCCTGCCTGGCACCAGCTGCGCGAGGTGCCGGCCTCCGTGCCAGGCCTGCCCTGCCTTGGTGAGCCGGCTGCACGTGAGGCAAGGGCGCCTGTACAGTCGGGGCCTTGGCCTAAGGAACCCAAAATAAGGAACGAGGCCCCTTTTTTCCACAAGTGAAACAGTCGAAACTAGGCCAGAAGACCCTCCTTCAAGAACATGAGACCCCCCGCTGGCCAAACTGAACAGGACACCCAAGGGCCCCCTCCCCAGGATGCAAAAGAACGTCCAACAAACACGAAGCACACCAGGGCACCCTCCCCGAACCGACCTCGATCTTGTGCCTCGGTCCGGCTGAACTTCGATTTCCGATCGAAAACATAAGGAAAACCTGAGGCAAGCTGCGAAACACTTAAGGAACGCGAAGCCCCTCCCCAACGAAAAGGGTTCCTTCTTCAGGGCCCCGACTGTACTTCAGTGGCGCAACATGATATGGCAAGCCGTCTCCTTTCCTGAGGTCGCTCTGGCTAGCACGCCAGACCTTGTTCGCATGTGGGGCCAAGCTTCTGCCCACAAAGGAGCTGGAACTCACGTGTGCCCAGACCCGTGGCCCGAGTTCCAGGGTGCCGCTCTGCTTTGCCCGAGAAAGGTGGAAGCCTGCCTCAGCCACTGCGCGGGTGAACCGGGACGGTATCACGATTCAGCTCACACGGTGTTCCCCCGCCATGCTAAGTAGGATGTTTAGCCCCGCTTTCCAGGATGCCAGTGAGAAGGCGTTGGGGGAGAGATGGGGGTTACATGCTGGGATGAGCGCTGACCTGGAAGTGGTCAGGAACTGAATGGGGGCCAAGTCGGCCAAGCACACGAAGTTTCAGGAGTATCTAGTCTTAGATCGATTTTGGACGAAGATCAAAGATACCAAACACAGATTCAAAAAAAAACAAAAATATTCAAAAAATCGTCCCCTGACTATTTTTGGCTATTTGGGAATATTCCTCCTGTGGAGGGACGGGCCCGACTCAAATCCAGTCCGTGCTGCCGCCTGTGACTGCCCCTGGACTGAGCAGCTGGCCCCCTTCCAATGGGCACTGCACCTCCCAGGCGGGGACTCTGCGAACGAGGAGCCCCTGACGCTGTGCACCACCGCCTGCACTGTTGCACCCTCCCTGCTGCTTCACAGGCACGCCCTGACTCTGAAGCCCCCGCATCTTTCATTGAGGAGGCCCGAGGGGACCCTGAGAGTTTGATCGTCGGCAAAGGTGCTGTTTCGGCACTGCCAGGGGATAGCCCTCCCATGCTCGGAGCTCCGTGTGCTCACGTGCTGAATGGTGAAGGGGAGCTGCTCCCCGACCTTGAGCCCGAGGAAGCCACAGCTTTTGCTGGCCTACATTTGGCAGTGGACGGCAGCAAATCGATGCCAATTTTGTCTTGTTTTCAGCGAGCTGTTTTTGCCGCAGTTCTGTTCGACCCCAAGACCGGAACCACCCTGACAGTTGTGCGTGGCACTGTGCCTGGAGGTTTCCCGCAGACTCCTGCTATGGCTGAGAATGTGTCTCTAGCCGTCACCTGCCAAATAACTGACCGCAGCACGAGTATCCACGCGGAGTGCATGGCTGCCAAAGCCCAAGCCCTGTTGCCCGAGAACGAGCAGCTTCGTTCCAGTCGGGTGTTCGCAGGAGTCTCAGCGTTTGCGAGGTCTTTCGAAGGGTATGGACACGTAGAGTCCATCCGGCATGTCAAAGCCCATCGCAGCGGGGACGCGATAGATAACTGACCGCCTGTGAACCGTGGCCTGGCGAAGGCTAAGCGTGCTGCCGACATCCGCGCCAAAGAGGCGCTTAAGTTGAATGAGCCCGTTGGCCCAGAGGCGGTCAGCAGGCTGGAAGATGAGGTCAAGAAGGCTTCCCTCTTTGTGAAGCCAGCTGCTGCTGTGCTTCCTATTTGAAGGGGCCCCAGGACACACAAATAGATACACAAATACAACAGATTCCCCATATGTTCCCATATTTTCTCGATTTTTGTCTTCCCCCCCACCTCCCATATTTTCCCATCTTTTCCTGGGAGTCGACGATTAATTGTGTCTGTGTGTGTTTTCCCCTCCTGACTATTTTCCATATCTAAGACTTGGAGAGAGCGACCCTCTTGCGCGCGATAGGTCTTGCAAGCTTTCTCCTGGATGGCACGGGCGGGGACAGGGCCCGCTGGGAGCACAGTGCGAGCCTTGTTCGATGTTTGCCCACGGGGGGGTCCCCGAAGGAAGCCGCGGGCTGCGCTGGGGCCCCCGATGTTGCTCGTCGGGTCGTTCGCCGCTCCTCGGGGCATCTCCTCGTTGGCGTGGCCCCGCATGAGGTCCACCCCGGAGCCCCCTGGTGCCCACTAGGGCCAAAGTCCACCGTTTCCTGTTTCTGTGCGTTCGTTGTGGCTGCTGGGCGGTGCCTTCGCCACCTCGAGGAGGTCTGCTTGAGACCCGCGAGGAGAGGCCGCGAGGTGCTCAGTAAATGCGCCACGGGTCTGGACCCCAGCAACTGTGCCAGGCAGTACATGGACAGAGCTGATGCGACCTCACCGTTGCAGGTGCAGCCCAAGCCACGGTGTCTGACTCTTGCCCAGACGTCGGTTCCCTCCGCCCACTCTTGTGCCCGCTCCTTTCCCGAATACGAGAGACGGCTGGCGGCACTCCAGGAGCGTGTGAGAGCCAGATTGGTTCCAAGTGTTGGGAGCCCTGTCCCCCAAGGTGACAAGTCCTTCTCAGACGGATGCCTTGACCCCAGTTCCAGGCTTGCGAGTCTCCTCCTGTCGGGCTGTCCTAACCGAATCTCCTCTCACCCCCCGTCCCCACCACCCTCTTGCAACCCTCTTCTTCGCCTTCCCCCCTCCCCCTCCGCTTACTCCCCCCATTTTAACGCCCATCCCTGCCGCCCAACACCGCCTGCTCCGCAATCCCCCCCCCGTTCCCCAGTCTATCCCTGCCCGCGCTCCTCAGGGCTGAACATCCTATCATGGCTCATTATGTTCCGAGCCCTCCCCGGGTACTTGCCACACAGGGAGCACCCTTTCCAGAAGATCATGGCATGGTACCTGGGCGCCTCCCACTCCGCCTCATCTACCTCCTCTTCATCATGCAGTGAGGGAATTGGACAAGGAACTCTTGGATCAAAAATCCAGGGCCTGGAAGCTGGTGAAACACCAATTGAAGCTTGGCCATGGATATCACCACCGCCCTCATCAAATAAGGACTCCATCAGGGTATGAAGCCTCCTGAGCACACTCCTGAAAGAACGCCCCCCCTAATTCTACCTCATTGTCCTGCTCATCCTCCTCCTCTTCCGCCTCCTCCCCGTCATCATCATCATCAGCATCATCAGCATCATCATCATCATCATCATCATCATCATCATCATCATCATCATCATCATCATCAGCAGCAGCAGCAGCAGCATCATCCTCGTCCTCCCGCCCCCCCCCCGCCCCGCCATTCCACGCTTTTCCCTTCCCCTCTCTTCCACCTCCTCCTCCTCCTACGCCTCCTCCTCCTCCGCATCATCATCATCATCATCATCATCATCATCATCATCATCATCATCATCATCATCATCATCATCATCATCATCATCATCATCATCATCATCATCCTCCATTGCTTTTCCTCATGAAAATAAGAGGGCAGAAAATCCACCCCGATAATAACCACCCCGACACGCGAAGTCGTTTAGTAAACGCACCCAGAGAAGGAATCAAACAGGGCAGGGCTGTTTAGTAAACGCCCAAGGCCGTGTAGAAAACGCCAATTGTCTGGTCCGGGTGGTTTTTCCGCCCTTGAGAAAAACTCCTCCCTGCCGCACCCCGACGCCAGTCGGAAGGGCGGGCCGGGTGTTTTGCCTGAGACTCCCTGACCACGTATGAGCCTGAAGCTTGAAACAGTCAACAGTTTCAAAAAATGGGGGGCGGGCGCTGGTCAAACTGTCCCTCTTGCTTGAGCGCCGCGGCCATTCGTGGTAAAATGCACCAGGGTTTCACAAGTAGAGGGCGGGTGGTTTTCAAAATGCGGCTCTCGCCTGAGCGCCGCGCACATTCGTATTAGACATGTGCAAGGGATTCGCGCATTGAGGGCGGGTGGTTTTCAAAATGTGGCTCTCGCCTGAGCGCCGCGCACCTTCGAGCTCAAAACTTGCAAGAGCCTCACGGATTGAGGGTGGGTCGTCTTCAAACTGTGGCTCTCGCCAGAGCGCCGCGCGCATCCGTCTTAAACATTTGCAAGAGTTTCACGAATTGGGGGCGGCTCGTTTTCACAATGTAGCTGTCGCCAGAGCGCCGCGCAAATTCGCAATACAAAATTGCAAGCATGTCAAGGGATCCCATGGTTAACGTACCAGGAATGGCGCTCTGGAACGGTTCAGGACTGTCAGGGCGCAACAGTTACGTTGACTCGCGGTGTTGAAGTCCCAGGAATAACGTTCTGGCCCCATTCCTGATCGCCGAGACGCAACAGTCAGGTAAACTCGTGGCGTTAAATTCCTGAGAACGGTTTTTGGTACGCTTCAGAATTATCAACATGTATGTGCCCCAACGGGACAATTCCCTTAGTTGGAATGCGCACATGTAGGGTTTTGGGTTTACAGGGCGTGTTCCACCATCGTTGATGCGTGTTGGGCTTACACGGATCATCATCATCATCATCATCATCATCATCATCATCATCATCATCATCATCATCATCATCATCATCATCATCGTCATCGTTATCATACTGATCATCATCATCGTCATCAGCATCATCATCATCATCATCAGCAGCATCAGCATCAGCATCATCATCAGCAGCATCATCAGCATCAAGCATCCGCATTATCAGCATCATCAACATCATCATCATCATCGTCGTCAGCATCGTCATCGTCATCTTCATCATCCTCAGTAGCATCATCATCAGCAGCATCATCAAAATCATCAGCAGCATCGTCTCCATCACCATCATCAGCATCATCAGCATCATCCTCATCATTATTATCATCCTCCTCGTCGGCCTCCTCCGTATCACAACCACCAGCACCACCACCATCTTCATTATCCTCATCTACATCATCAGCAGCAGCATCATCAGCAGCATCATCATCATCAGGAGCATCACCATCATCCCCATCCCTCCTCTTTATCAGTTTGCTGGTCCAACTCCCTTGTATCCCTCGCCCCCCTCCCCCTCCACCGCGTCAGTTCCCTCCTCCACATCTCCCTCCTCCTCCTCATCATCATCATCCTCCTCCTCATCCTCCTCCCTTTCTCCTCCTGTCTATTCTCCGCCTCCGCCGCCTCCTCCTCCTCATCCTCTTCCTCCTCTTCCTGGTCCTCACATTCCCCATCCGTTGCAATGTTGGCGCATGCCAAGTGCCTAGCAGTCACAGCCGCTGGCTCAGAGCCTGGCGGCTCCGCCGGTTGGGCTAATGTCGGGCCGCTGGCTCGTGGCACATGCGATGGCTTCACGAGACGAGGCTCATTCGAGCCCCTTGCGGCGTTGTGCTGGTGCTCGCCGTGCTGCGCAGCGTGCTGCGGCCGATGCTGCCACTGGTCGGCCACTGGCGCAGCGGCAGAAGCCTAGTGAGGAGGCGGCATCTGCGAGGGCTGCCCTTGCGAAGCTGGCTGCCCAGGATGGGGTTGGAGGCGGCGAACTTGTCGACAGGCTCCGTCTCGTGGCACTGGTCCTTGCCGCGGACCGGGCCGACGAGGACCCTTCCCCCCCTGGCGGTGGCGAGGAGGGATCTCGCCTCCAACGACTTCGACACACCCGTGGAGCAGATTGCTGCGGCGGGGGGGGGGGCGAGCTGAACAGGCTCCAACGTCAGGGGCTTGGGCGGCGGCGCCGTGGGTGGCGGCGACAAGCCAGCGAGTCGGCCGATCAGGCGAGCGTAGGCCAGGCGTCCGACGGCGGCGAACACGACGGCGGCCACGGCAGCGTGCGGCAGGCACGTGCCGTGGAGCTGCTCTTTGCAGTGTGCTGTGCCCAGTCCGCCGCGCGCGGGCGCTCCCGCCGTCTGCCCCATTCGCCCCTTCGAGGCTGCAGGGCTGGCTCTGCGCGTGTGGCACGGTGCTGTTCGTGGGAGAGGGGGGCGGTACCAATACCGCCAGCCCCTGGACCTCGGCTACACGCAAGAGTGACCCCAGGCAAAAGTGACCGTTGGTGCGCGGCTTGAGGGGGGCCGCGGGGGGCCAAACCCGAACGCGCAAGACGCTGCTATCGCATTGCGTTCGGCGATCGGGGGACCCCACTGGGCCCGCATCAAAGGTCACCCCAGCGAAAGGTCACTCTTACGCCCAGTCGAGACGGTACTGATACCGCCAGTCCCCCGACCTCTCCCGGGGTGCGTTCTGACCAGGACTCCGAGGAGAATCCAGCCGTGGCGACGAGAGCTCTGCAGGACGAGCTGCGGTCACGGGACCTTTCGCCTCCTCGGAACTCGAGGGCTGCGCCAGGCGCCCTGCGGAGCCCGCGGCTTTGGCCCCGGAAGCCCACGCCGCACGCTGCGGAGCTGCTGCGCTTGGCCGTGCAGCCGCCGCCCCGGCCGATGGGCCGTGGCGCGCGCAGCGAAAGGCGGAGCCCGGACGATCGGGAGGCCGAGCCCTGCGGCGGCTGCCCGCGCGGCCGCTCCACTGCGACGTCCTCGTGCCCTGCCTCAACCCTGAAAGAGGAGAAGGAGGAGGAGGAGGAGGGGATGGAGAAGGGAGGAAGAGGAGGAGGAGGAGGAGGAGGAGGAGGAGGAGGAGGAGGAGGAGGAGGAGGAGGAGGAGGGGGGAAAGAGGAGCGAACGTCGCTCCAGAGGAAGAGTCGCCTACCTACCCGTGCGTGCACGTGCGGCTTCCAGGCAACGAAGTAAGTGCTGTGGCCCAGAACCAGGATGCGCCGAAATGATTGCGTGCAACTGGTGCGTCAGGCTAAGCCCCAAGACCGACCGATCGAGCGAATCATCGGGGGTCGAGGCGTGGTCACGGGGGGACCCAAGACAAAGCTTCATTAAAACAGAACTCGAACACAATTCCCGAGGGTAACAGGCAGCCCACCACAGGTGCCGACACCTCAGATAATGGGACATTGTGTCAGCTCCATTCTCACAGCCAAATTTACAGGGAGCCGCACGGGTGCTCGTGACATGCATTCTGGCCACTGTAGGCCACGCTCCGCACATGACTTTAATCGCCGCCCACCTCACCCCCCTCCCTTTATTTCGGAGGACGCTCTTCAGCGCCTCCCATCTCTGCGCCAACACTCGGGTGGCGGGCGCACGGACCTGCCACGCACAAAGCCTCTTCCTGAAGGTGACGGGAAAGGAATCTAGGAAGAGGAGGGACGACAGGACGGAGCGGAGGGTGGATTGGAGGGAGAACCGCTTTTTCCTCCGCTCACGATGGGCCTGAGCCAGCCAGGCCGCCTCCGCTGCCAGCGTCCGCCTCTTCGCGGATCGCAGGCAGGCTTCCACTCGATGACGGTTCCTGGGCCTGCTGGTCGGAGTGCGGCACTCCAAGGCGTCCCTGAGGTGATGCGCGGGTCCGCGGCGGTCTCGCCACCACGCCGGCGCGAAGAGGCCCGTCGGCAAGTCCGCCAACCTGATCAGCGCCTCGCCCTGCACATCCATGAAGAAGCTCTCGACGCCCTCGAGGAGGTCGAGCCAGTCCCTCGGCAGCTTGATCGCCGCCCTCATCCTCGCAGCCGTCGCCGAAGCGAAGAGGGAGAGCGGCGCCGTGACGCCCAGGGAGGTGCCCAGGGACAAGAGGCAGTCCTTCCTGAACGACTTCGGCGGCACGCGCAGCAGCACGTGCAGCAAGTCCAGCTCCTTGTCCACGAGCGTGTCGGGGATCGGGAACAGCATGGCCACGTAGAGCAGGCACGGGATCGCCAGCCCGTTGTACGCCTGGACCACCGCGTCGTTGGAGAGGGCACTAGCGCCCAGCGCCCGCGTCCTCGCCGCGTACTTGGCCGCAGGGTCGTGCCACTGTCTGGCGAGGTCGGCACCTGGCCCCAGCCAGCAGCCCAAGTACTTCGTCATGGAGGCGACCGAGAAGCCTGACCAGCCCGCGGCGCTCGCCTCGAG